GGCGGCAGGATGATCAAGCTGTTCTCGCTGAAGCAGCAGAAGAAGGAGGAGGAGTCGGCCGGCGGCACCAAGGGCAGCAGCAAGAAGGCGTCGGCGGCGCAGCTGCGGATCCAGAAGGGTAGGGTGTAGGGATCGGTCAGTGGGGGCTGGGGACTGGGGGGTCGGAGGTCAGGGCCTGGGGATGGGGTGTTAGGGGCTGGGTTATGCAGTCGCTGGGGGTTGGAGGTCAGGGTGGGGGGTAGGTTGATCTGGTGGGTGGGTGTGGGGTGATGCGGTCGTGGGTGCGGTCAGAGAGGGGAGCCGGGGATAGATTTTTGATGTAAGGAAGTCAAGTGTCTGGTGTGAGGGACCCGGGAATCTGAGGGGCAAGCGGTGGGGGGTGGGGGGGCAGGCGGCCGGGGACTCACAGGTCTGGGATTTAGAGTTCGGGGTGACAGGCGGAGGAGAGAGGGATACTGGGGGAGGATTTAGAGTATCGTGCTGGGAGCACTAGGAATCTCAGAGTCAGATGGAGTGGGGTCGGGTTGGGGGTGCCAGGGATTTGTGGGTCTTTGGGGTGACAGGTGGATGAAGAAGGGATAATGGAGGCCTGGGTTGGGGTGAGGGAGGAGTCAGGGTATTAGAGTGGGTAATTAGGGCTCCTGAGTTTGGATGGGCATGGGGGGATGGGCATTGTCCACTGGAGAGAAGTCATGGCTGGGGAACCCGAGGTTTGGCGTGGTCAGAAGCTGTTTGGACCTAGAGTGCTGGGGCCACAGGTTTGGGGAGCTGGTGGGTGGGCCGCATGGAGGTGGGTGCGCTTAGGCATTGGATTGGAGGACTCAAGTGTTGGAGACTGGAGACATGCATAAGAGTTGGGGCTCAGCCTGGGCCAGGAGCCAGGACTCACAGCTGCATTTTAAGGTGCACATTTAGGGTATGCTGTGGATCTAGAAGATCCCATCTACGGGGTGAGGGAAGGCCCACCAGGAAAGGCAGGGAGAGGGTTGGGTGTGTAGGGCTCAGAATGAGGCCCAGGAGTCCCAGAGGAGGCCACAGGGGCTCTGTTGGTGCCTGCCCTGAGTGCCCTCCTCTCTGTCCCCATTTCCTGCTGCCCAAATCCAGACATAAACGAGCTGAACCTGCCCAAGACTTGTGATATCAACTTTTCAGACCCGGACGACCTCCTCAACTTCAAGCTGGTCATCTGTCCCGATGAGGTGAGGGACCATACCTGCCTGGGTCCCCTGGACAGACCCTGGGTGGCCCCACCACAGGGAAGGAGACCTGCCTGCCAGGTGTGCCTGCCAGGCCCAGACAGAATTGGGTCCTGACACTTTCGTCTTTTCTTCTACTGGCAGGGCTTCTACAAAAGTGGGAAGTTTGTGTTCAGTTTTAAGGTGAGTCTCAGGCAGGCAGGGGCAGCAGCTCCCTGGGCTGAGGAGGATGCAGCTAAGACCCCAGCCAGGTCCTGACAGGCACCCACCCACCTTTTCTCTCTTCTTCTCCGAGGTGGGTCAGGGTTACCCACATGACCCCCCCAAGGTGAAGTGTGAGACAATGGTCTATCACCCCAACATCGACCTCGAGGGCAATGTCTGCCTCAACATCCTCAGGTGAGGTGCTGACCCTCTGCTACCCTCCTGCACCCCAGCCCTGCCTCTGGACCTCCCTCCTGGGCTCTAGGTCTGTGTCTGTTCCTTCTCCCTCGTCACAGTCTGTGTCCCACTGTCGCTTCCATCTTTACATATTCTTCTTCATGGCCTGACCTTGGTTTTCTCCCTGGCCTGTCCTCTACACACTTCCTCCAGCCTCACATCCCCTCTCCCATGCCCTGTGCCTGACCCATGGAGTCCCAGCAGGGACCACAGCAGCCACCTGCTTAGCAGCCCCTGACCCCGATACTCTGTCCACAGAGAGGACTGGAAGCCAGTCCTTACGATAAACTCCATAATTTATGGCCTGCAGTATCTCTTCTTGGTGAGTAAGGGGCGGGCGAGGCTTGGGGCTGTGGGAGGCTGACCCGGCCCCTCTGCCCCTTCAGCCTGCTGACCCATTCCTTGCTGGTTGCAGGAGCCCAACCCTGAGGACCCACTGAACAAGGAGGCTGCTGAGGTCCTGCAGAACAACCGACGGCTGTTTGAGCAGAATGTGCAGCGCTCTATGCGGGGTGGCTACATCGGCTCTACCTACTTTGAGCGCTGCCTGAAATAGGGTTGGCGCCCACCCCACCCCCGCCAGGGCCACCACCCCGGCGTCCCCTGCAAATATTTATTGGGGGCCACAGGTGGGGGACGTGGGGAGGCCGGTGGGGGGGTTTCCCCTGCCCTGGCCTTGCCTCCCCTCCCTGCCACCCACCCCTTGTTATTTTTTTTTTTAACCACCATGTGATTAAGGTCAGCGCTGCCTCCCCCGACCTGCTCAGCGATGGGAAATGAATTGGCTTGTCTAGCCCCCCTGCTGGGTGTGTCCAGCCCCCCACTCTGGGCACTGGGGTGGGTAGGCAAGGGGCCTGTGTAGCTGGGACCCCGGCACCCTACCCCTCTGCTGCCGGAGGTCCCAGCTGGCTATTAAAGGGGAATGTTACTGCATGGCCTCCGTATCTTCTTCGTTCTAAGGGATTAGAGGGGCAGGTGACGTCCACCGCAGATACCCGGCTATGGGGTCTTGGCCCAACAGGCCAGTGTGTGGTTTCAGATGGTGTTGGGGAACCCTGAGCAAACCACCCAATGTCTGGGGCAGTCATGGGGAGACCAGGGCATGAAATTCTTGGGCTGGCTGGGATGAAGCCCACCTTGGGATGAGTGAGGGACAGAACTGGTGACCACCAGCTGGCCAGCAGAACTGGCATGGGAGTATGGTGAAAGATGTGTCACTCCCAGTTGTGCCCCCTTCTGCCTTGGTTGAGCCTGTGGGGAGGTCCCTGCCTGGTGCGACCACTGCTTGAGATACTGGGCGGCTGCGTTTGGCCCTGGGGCTGATGTCAGGGGTGAGACCCCTGCGGTGGGTTCTCAGTACAGGGAGGAGGCTGGGCACTCAGGTAGGTGATAGGAGGGAGCCCAGCTTGAGACGGTGAGATATGGAGCCTCCGGAATGGCTGGGCAGAAGGGCCCAAAGGTGTGCCACCGCCTGCGGTGACCAAGAACCCAGGCCTGGATTAACGAGCTCGGGCGGATCCGGAGGCAGGAATCGAACCTGCGAAACGGCTTCCGGCAGGCCGCATGAAGATCGGGGCTCATGCGCATGCGTCCCCTGGGTCGGCTTTGGGGCGAGTGCGCACGCGCGTTCTCAAGCCCCTACCGCCTCCCAGCATTCCGGGCGTGGGCGAGGTGCCTGACGTCAGATCATTTAATCCGGAAACGGCGACGGCGGCAGAGGCGACCGACCGAGGGGGCCGTCGTTGGTGGGCGCTCCGTGTATCCGAACGAAGGTAGCGTGACCCGGAAGCGGAAGCGGATCCCCGTCCCAGCTCCGGTGAGTGGCTCCAGCAGGGCCGCGGGTCCCAGACGGGTGCACGGGCGGCGGCGTTCGCGGGGGGTTTTCTTAGCCGGGGTGCCCAGTGCCCCGCCCCTTTATGGAACCCCGTCCTCAGCTCTCGGGGAGCACAGACGTCGCTTAAGTCTTTGGCGCTTAGGTCGCTCTAACGCCCCACATCCTATCGTCGATGTACAGGGTGCCTAACGACCATCCTCCTGCTCTCCGTGTTCAGACTCTCACACAGTGGCCCAGATCGTGGCTTCAGTATACAGGGCGCTCTGATGTCCATCGCCCCGTTAGTGTACGGGGCCTTGTAACGCCCCCAAGATTCTGTTCTCCGTGTACAGGGTAACTTGACGCCCATCGTCCTGTCTGCAGTGTACCAAAAAAAAAAAAAAAAAAAGACCTGTTGCTGTCGAGTCGATTCCGACTCAGAGCGACCCCATAGGACAGAGTAGAAGTGCCCCGTAGGGTTTCCAAGGGTGTAATCATTGTGGGGAAACCCTGGTGGCGTAATGGTTAAGAGCTACGGCTGCTAACCATTGAAGGTTCGCAGTTCGAATCCACCCGGTGCTCCTCGGAAACCCTATGGGGCAATTCTACCCTGTTCTATAGGGTGGGTCGGTGTGAGTCGGAATCGACTCGACGGCAACAGGGTTGGGTTTTTTTGTTTGTTTTTTGTCTTTTTTAAATCATTGCGGAAGCATACTGCCACCTCTCTCTCTGCCAGAGCGGCTGGTGGGTTCGAACTGCTGTTTGGTTAGCGCTGAGCACCTAGCCACTGCTCCACCAGGGTTCTTCCCCTTGGTATACAGGGTCCCCTAATGCCTCAGACTATGTCCTTGGTGCCGAGGTTCCCTCAGGACTCTGTCCCCAATCTTCATGCAGTCCACACCCTGCCCTCAGCCTCAGAATCCCCACAGCTGCCCTGTCCTCGGTGCTGTGGCCCCAAATGTCCCCAGTGCACCCATTCACATCCATCAGAGACACCAGGACTTCTCACTGGGTCTCAAGAGGAAAGCTGAAGTCGTGGACCTTCTGTGTCCTAACCCCTTTGGGGGCACACTGATGGAGGAGGGGCTGGGTAGGTACACTGTGGATGACTTTCAGGTCTCACCCTTCTCCATCCCCCGGGCTGCCCCACAGTTCCTAGCATGCCCTTCTGGCCACCTGTTCACTCCTTTCCCTGCTCACCCCTTCTCATTTTGCAAGCCCTGCATGATCCCAGCCCTGCCTCTCGCCCTGCGTTTGGGCCCTGTGCCCTACTGCTAGGCCTCTCACCTGACCCAGGCCCGCCAGCGGGCTCCTACCACCATGGACCTGTTGTTTGGGCGCCGGAAGACGCCGGAGGAGCTGTTGCGACAGAACCAGCGGGCCCTGAACCGTGCCATGCGGGAGCTGGACCGGGAGCGACAGAAGTTGGAGACCCAGGAGAAGAAAATCATTGCAGACATTAAGAAGATGGCCAAGCAAGGCCAGATGGTGAGTGCAGTTGGGCAGGGGCTAGGACCAGAAGGGGCACCATCGCACAGTCAGGCACTGCTGTCATAGGGAGATGATAGAGAGAGGGACATGCGTGATGCTAACAGGTGCTTCAACAAGAACAGAATAGAGTGAGGTGTGGGCAGGGTTTCCCTAGCTTGGGGTCCAGGAAGGCCTCTCGGAGAGGATGAGCTTGCGGAAGATCTGGGGAGGGAGAGTGTCTCAAGCAGATGGAACAGGAAGTGTTAGATAAGGAAGCCTCTGCAAGATAAGGGGAGTAATGGGTGGGCTCAGAGTTAATACAGCCAAATCTCTTGGAACATGGGCTACAGCAGGAGTGGAGCCAGGGTTCAAGGCAAGAGAGGAACACAGCTGGGGATACATTTTGACCAGGAGGCCGGTGAGAAAAGAGATGAAGGAGACACTCTGGACTGGTGGTAGTGGGGAGAACATGGAGAGGGGAGCAGACAACTGGAGATTTGCTTTGAAGGCAGAAGGGATGGAACTCAAGGTATAGAGTGGGACATGAAGGGAAGAGCAGAACTGATGATGGATGACAGGTTTTGGCCTCAGCAGTTGGGCAGAAGAGGTACCTTTTCCTGGGATAGGCAAGGCAAGAAAGAGCAGGTTTGGGGAAGAAATCAAAAGTTGAGCTTTAGATATGTCTTTCTGGGATTCTGGATAAGGAGCCTGAAGCGGGGGAAGAGGCAGATTCTTTATCTAGGCTGGATACAGAAATTCATGACCTTGTGTTTAAAGTCAAGGGAGTGCCTAGATGTGGAGGGGAAAGGACCAAGGAGGGAGCCCACACCTCCCAGCATTTAGAGGTCAGAGAGGAGGAGGAGGAGCACACAGAAAAGCTTGAGTAATGGTGGCCCAAGATGAGAGTGAGTGAGCAGTGACCACTGGGTTTAGCCATGCCAAGGTTTTTGGAGACATAACAGGAGTGGTTGGGTGGGGGTTGGGAGTGCCACAAACCCCAACTGATGGAAGTGCCGAGGAGTAGGGGAGCAATCAGAACCCCATGGCCCCATCTCTGCCACCCCTGTCCACCCTGCAGGACGCCGTGCGCATCATGGCCAAGGACCTGGTACGCACCCGGCGCTACGTGCGCAAATTTGTGCTGATGCGGGCCAACATCCAGGCCGTGTCCCTCAAGATCCAGACACTCAAGTCTAACAACTCAATGGCGCAAGCCATGAAGGGTGTCACCAAGGCTATGGGCACCATGAACAGACAGGTCTGCCTCTCCCCTTCCCCCTTTCTACCCCAGCTGACCCCCAAGCCCAGAATGAGCCACCCAGGATGTTCAGGGCTTGAGGGCAGAGTCTAGCCTGGGTGGGTGTCCAGAGCCTACTGCAGGGACTGGCAGCAGTCCTGATCCTTCCTCATGTGCTCCCCAAACCTCCCTCCAGCTGAAGCTTCCCCAGATCCAGAAGATTATGATGGAGTTTGAGCGGCAGGCAGAGATTATGGACATGAAGGAGGAGATGATGAATGATGCCATCGATGATGCCATGGGTGATGAGGAAGATGAGGAGGAGAGGTGTGGAGACACTGGGTGGGAGGAGAGGGAAGCACCCCTGCCCCTCAGGTGTACCTGATCTCATCAAGTTTCTCTACTCTCTTCCGTAGTGATGCTGTTGTGTCCCAGGTCCTGGATGAGCTGGGACTGAGCCTGACAGATGAGCTGTCCAGTGAGTACTCCACACCATGGGCCATTTCCCACCAGAGGCCAGCCCCAGCCCTGACCTGCTCCCCCTGCAGACCTCCCCTCCTCAGGGACTCTGTCCCTGACCTCCAATCCCCCTGCACATCTCCCCTCCACTGGGGACTCTGTTCCTGACCCTCGCTCTCCCTGCAGATCTCCCCTCCACTGGGGGCTCACTCAGTGTGGCTGCCGGTGGGAAGAAAGCAGAGGCTGCAGCTTCTGCCCTGGCTGATGCAGATGCAGACCTGGAGGAGCGGCTTAAGAATCTGCGAAGGGACTGACTGACCAACCCCTACCTTGCCACCCTGGGGGGCCACAAGTGCTCCCTTTAGAATAAAGAGTGGATATTAGCTCTGAAGACTCTGTGATGACTGCCCCAGTGATGCATGATTTGGGATGGGATCCGGGGTCATTCAGGCAGGACTAGGGACAGAGGCATAGATGGTACAGGCCCTGTACCAACACTGGAGCATTGAGCAGGAAGAACTGGTTCTGAGGCCCTGTCAACTGTGAGATTTGGAGCAGAATGAGCCCACCCCAGATGGTCAGGGCTTGAGGAAAGAGACTAGCCTGATAGGTGCCCCAAGCCTAGTGCAGGGACTCGCAGCAGTCCTGATCCGTCCTCGTATGCCCACTCCTGTGTCTGTTCAAGGGCAGTTGGCGAACACCTCCAGGGTCAATGTCAGACACAAAGACAGACATGGCTCAGCCAGAACAGACTCCCTCCAGGACTTGACACCGTGCCCCCATCCCTCAATCTGGGACCCTGTGGTACCTAGCCCTGGTGATGGAGGCTTAACGGGGGACTTGGGAACAGGTCGAGCCAACAGGTAGAAATGTGAGGGGGGATTTTACTGAGGAGACTTAGCTGGTCAGTAGCCAAGTCTTTCAGAAAGGAATGAAGGATAGTATCAGAAGCCTCAGCTACAAAAAAGACAAAAAATAGGAACAAAGACACCTACAGGTTTCAACAGCTGCCTAGCAGCTTGCAGCCAATGGCTACAGCCTCAAACCCAGGAAGTGCTAAGGGGCTGCCAGGCTAGTGGTAGCTGGGGCCTCCTCAACCCAGCACCACAGGTCAGCCCTGTGGCCCACTCGCTTGCTGAGTGTCCCACAGCATCCTTCATCCTATGTGACCCACTCTCCAGAGGCAGGCAGGGCTCTTGAACCCACTGTGAGACTGGCCCAGGCCTGATGCTCATTCTTCCCCATTCCCCCAGACAGGAGATAGTTAGTCTGGGGATGAGGCCCCTTAGGGCCACCATGGCTCTACAGACACCACTGTCCCACCAACTACTGAGTCCCAAACTCCCAAATAGCGAAGTCCAAGGAACTGGTGAAGTTTTTATTAAATCCACAGAAGTAAAAACCATATTGTGAGGAGCTGGGGACAGGGCCACCAGGGAGTGGGAGCCGGGCCACCAGGAAGCAGGGAAGGGGGAACAGGACAGAACAGAGCCAGGCCGGTCATGAGGGCACCAGCCTCAGAGGCCATCACTGGGGCCGCCGGGCAACTCGGGGGCTCCCAGGCCAGCACCAGGTAGGCTCAGCGGCGGGGGCTCGACCAACACGGCTGAGAACTTGGTGTCACCAAAAGCTTCATTCATGCGCGTCTCAAAAAAGCGTTGCAGGCCAATGATGGACTGCACGTCTGCCTTGTCCTGTGCAGGAGGTAGGTGCAGTGGATAGCGACTCTCAACTCTGCCTGGTCCACCCTAAGCCCCTTCTACCAACCCTATCCCTCCTCCGTCTACAGGGCTCACCTCTGTCAGCTTGTTGAACTGCTTGAACATGCGGCCCACATCCTGGGCAAATTCCTGGGGGGAGCTGTAGGGAGGCGACAATTTCTCCTGGAGACGGGCACGGATCAGCGTCAGGTCCAGGGTGCCACCAGGCTGGTCCTGCAGGCAGGGGGACGGGGTGCCACATGGTTGAGTGCCAGGCCAGCAGACTCCTTCCTGCCCGTCTTCCCCTGTCCCGGGCAGACTCACCAGGGAGAAGGTGGAGTCAGTGGCCAACTGGTGCAGGGGGCGGCACGGCTCATGGCAGAACAGGGCCAGCAGGACACGCTCACACTTCTACAGACAGCATGGTCAGACCCATCAGCACTCCCACCCACCTCAGACTTCCCTGAGCCCCCAGCCCCAGCCCCAACCCTCACCCGCTGGTTGGCTGGCGAAAGCTTGGCCACCACACCAGTGGTGTCGGACTCATCCAGGTTGAGGCTCCCGTCCTCCTCCTTCAGGTCAGGCAGCACGTGGCAGAGTGAGCAGCTCCACTCTTCCCTGGGGTGTGGAGAGAATAAGGAGCCTGCACAGAACCCCCACCTGCCCACCCTGCTTATACCCAGCCCCTAGCTCGCCACACACCCTGGCACATCCTGCAGAGCTGGCAGGTGGCAGTCCAGGTGGAAGCAAAACTCGCACTGGTTGCACATGACCAGGTCGCCTGGCTTCTGACAGACACGACAGATGGTGGCACTGTCGTCCAGGGCACCTGGGCCGCCAGATGGAGCCGAGGCACCTTCAGGGGCCACCACTTCCAGGCCCGAACTGGTGCTACCACTGGGTGAGGCCAGGCGGGGGCCCTCTGCACCAGAACCCTCTGCCAGGGCCATCAGCACGGGCTTGGTCTCGGGGCCTTCAGCAGCAGCAGGTGGGGCACCAATGGCTGCCTCTGTCTCTTCTTCCTGCGAGGGGGAGAGGGAGCAAGTAATGGTCAGCAGAGCTGGGCAACCTGCAGTGTCCTACTGTCATCATCCCACAAGAAACACTCACCTTAACAATGGCCATGCCGGGCAGGGGCGGGGCTCCAGGGGCCCCAGGGGGCGCAGTTCCGGGCTGGCCGGCAGCCGCGGCAGCACCACCACGCTCGATGACAATGAGATTGTAGTCCTCTGTGGTGTTGCCTGGGAATACCTTGAACACAGGCGGCTGGCTGTCGGCTGTGAGGTCCAAGTCCAGGCGCTCGAGGCTCACCCGTGGCACCTTGCGCATTAGGCCGCTCACCTCACCCTCACCAGAGCGGGACCTGCAGGGCACAACCTGCCATGAGGCTAGGCCCTGACCTAGCCAACCACTGGGCCTGCTTGCCGCCCCACGGGGCCACCACACTCACCGTTTTACACCCGATACATGAGGCTCTGCACTGGAGTAGGGATCATCTACTTGGGACATGAAGGAAAAAGGATACTAGATTGGCACGGGAACAGTGTGAGTCTCCCCCCAAGGCAGTGTCAGGGACCAGGCTGACCCACTCACCTGACCCAAAGCCATAGCCTTCCTGTACCTCCATGGGCTGTGGGCAGAGATTGGGAGACCTCAGGCAGGCGGCCCTCAGGACCTGTGCTCCCTTCTCCCTCCCCCCTCCCACTAACACCCTCCTCACCTGGCTGCTGCCTGAGCCCTGCTTGCTCAGTGGGCCCGGGGCCCGTGGGGGAGCCATGGGTGCAGGACCTGTGGAGTTGGTGCCCGAGCGCTCTGCCACGATTTTGCCTTCAGAAGAAAAGAAGTATAAGCAAGGGCAGTCAAGGTTACCTAGGGCATACAGTTGGGAAGGGAAGGAGGACCCACCGAAGGCCTCAGCACTCTTGGTCCAGGCGTTGAGGTCCCACTGGAATTTCATCTCGCCATGTGGCTCCACAGGGTCCACAATCATCTTGAGGGCACGGTGCAGCTGGAAGTAGATCTGGGCAAGGCGGGATGGGTGGGTTTTAAGTGCTCTGGGCAGTGCAACCCACCTGTGCCTACAGGGGAGCCTGCCCACAGTCCCCCACAGCCAGCGCACCAGCTTTTTGGACAGCAGCAGGGCCGTGTTGTTGTCACTCTCCAGGGCCCAGGAGGCAAAGCGCAGGATGTGCTCCTGGTGCTTCTGGATCTTGGTCATGGTCCAGTGCTGCCGCTCCAGCCGCTCCTGCTGCCCCTCAGTCACCTTCTGCAGGGTTGGGGCGAAGAGGCAGGGAAGAACACTGGATCAGCAGGTGGGAGGACAGAAGCAGCTGGGACCCTTACCCTGGATAGACGTGGCATAGGCACCTGGGCATCATTGACCAGTACACGACCCCGCTTGTTCAGCTCCTTCATGATCTGCAGGATGGCCATCTTGACATCCACCTGCACACGCTTCTGCACGTCTGACACCTGGCGGATCCTGAGAGCAGGGTTGTGGCAGGTCAGACTGGGCAAGGAAGGGGCCGCCCACCCCCCTGCCCCCTGCCCCC